CTTGTGGGACACTCTTGTAGGAAACTCTTGTGGGATACTCTTGTAGGCCACTCTTGTGAGACACTCTTGTAGAACTCTCTTGTGGGACACTCGTGTAGGGCACTCTTGTGGGACACTTGCGGGACACTCTTGTGGGACACTCATACGGGACACTCTTGTGGGACACTCTATCTGGGACACTCTATCTGGGACACTCTTGTGGGTACACTCTTGTGGGACACTCTTGTGGGACACTCTTGTGGGACACTCATGTAGGACACTCTTGTGGGACACTCTTGTAGGACACTCTTGTGGGACACTCTTGAGGGACACTCTTGTGGGACACTCTTGTAGGAAACTCCTGTGGGATACTCTTGTAGGACACTCTTGTGAGACACTCTTGTAGGCACTCTTGTGGGACACTCTTGTGGGACACTCTTGTGGGACGCTCTTGTAGGAAACTCTTGTGGGACACTCTTGTAGGAAACTCTAAGGGACACTCTTATAGGACACTCTGGTGGAACACTCTTGAGGGACACTCTTGTGAGACACTCTTGTGGGACACTGTTGCGGGACAGTCTTGTGGGACACTCTTGTGGGTCACTCTTGTTGGGACACTCTTGTAGGACACTCTTGTGGGACACTCCCGTAGGACACTCTTGCGCGACACTCTTGAGGGACACTCTTGTGGGACACTCTTGTAGGACACTCTTGTGGGATACTCTTGTAGGACACTCTTGTGGGACACTCTTGTAGGACACTCTTGTGGGACACTCTTGTAGGGACTCTTGTGGGACACTCTTGTAGGAAACTCTTGTGGGACACTCTTGTAGGAAACTCTTGTGGGACACTCTTATAGGACACTCTTGTGGGACACTCTTATAGGACACTCTTGTGGGACACTCTATCTGGGACACTCTTGTAGGAAGCTCTTGCAGGGCACTCTTATGGGACAATCTTGACGCCACAAATCATCCCGTGGCTGCGCAAATCGCAATGGCACTGCAACATCACAAACGTCGTGTCGCCACAGGCAGTCATGCGAGCGTTTCGTACGAGACGTCCTCCAAAAGTCACGCTTCGAGGCTGCAAGACCTTGTGGGACACTCTTGTGGGACACTCTTGTAGGAAACTCTTGTGGGGAATGTACTCTTATAGGACACTCTTGTGGAACACTCTTAAGGGACACTCTTGTGGGACACTCTTGTGGGACACGGTTGCGGGACACTCTTGTGGGACACTCATACGGGACACTCTTGTAGGACACTCTTGTGGGCCACTCTTATGGGACACTCTAGTCGGACATTCTTGTGGGACACTCTTTTGAGACACTCTTGTAGGACACTCTTGTGGTTCACTCTTACAGGACACTCTTGTGGGACACTCTTGTGGAACACTCTTGTAGGACAATCTTGTAGGATAATCTTGTGGGACACTCTTGCGGGACACTCTTGTGCGACACTTTTATAGGACACTTTTGTGGGACACTCTTGTGCGACACTCTTGTGGGTCACTCTTACACGCCACTCTCGTAGGTTCTCCTTGTGGGACACTCTTATAGGACACTCTTGTGGGACACTCTTGTAGGAAACTCTTGTGGGACATGTACTCTTATAGTACGCTCTTGTGGAACACTCTTAAGGGACACTCTTGTGAGACTCTTGTGGGACACGGTTGTGGGACACTCTTGTGGGACACTCATACGGGACACTCTTGTGGGACACTCTATCTGGGACACTCTATCTGGGACACTCTTGTGGGCACACTCTTGTAGGACACTCTTGTAGGACACTCTTGTACTCTTGTAGGACACTCTTGTGGGACACTCTTGAGGGACACTCTTGTGGGACACTCTTGTAGGAAACTCCTGTGGGATACTCTTGTAGGACACTCTTGTGAGACACTCTTGTAGGACACTCTTGTGGGACACTCTTGTGGGACACTCTCGTGGGACACTCTTGTGGGACACTCTTGTAGGAAACTCTTGTGGGGCACTCTCGTAGGAAACTCTTGTGGGACACTCTTATAGGACACTCTTGTGGAACACTCTTGAGGGACACTCTTGTGAGACACTCTTGTGGGACACTGTTGCGGGACAGTCGTGTGGGACACTCTTGTGGGTCACTCTTGTTGGGACACTCTTGTAGGACACTCTTGTGGGACACTCTTGTAGGACACTCTTGTGGGACACTCTTGAGGGACACTCTTGTGGGACACTCTTGTAGGAAACTCTTGCGGGATACTCTTGTAGGACACTCTTGTGAGACACTCTTGTAGCTCTTGTGGGACACTCTTGTGGGACACTCTTGTGGGACACTCTTGTGGGACACTCTTGTAGGAAACTCTTGTGGGACACTCTTGTAGGAAACTCTTGTGGGACACTCTTATAGGACACTCTTGTGGGACACTCTATCTGGGACACTCTTCTAGGACAATCTTGTGGGTCACTCTTGTAGGAAGCTCTTGCAGGGCACTCTTTTGGGACAATCTTGATGCCACAAATCATCCCGCGGCTGCGCAAATCGCAATGGCACTGCGACATCACAAACGTCGTGTCGCCACAGGCAGTCATGCGAGCGTTTCGTACGAGACTTCCTCCAAAAGTCACGCGTCAAGTCTCCAAAACGAGCGTTTCGTACGAGACGTCCTCCAAAAGTCACACGTCAAGTCTCCAAAACGAGCGTTTCGTACGAGACTTCCTCCAAAAGTCACATGTCAAGTCTCCAAAACGAGTGTTTCGTACGAGACTTCCTCCAAAACTCACATGTCAAAGTCTGCAAAACGAGCGTTTCGTACGAGACTTCCTCCAAAAGTCAAGCGGAAACACCCATCGGAGCACACACATCACGCAGCCCTGCCAAGCAGTTTCGCGAGTCCAGCCCCTCCAAACAATACCCGCTCACACGCCAATCCCAATGTGACAGCGACATTCACCTCTACCACAACTCACGACCTCACGATTCCCTGCGCCTGCCACGAATCTTTCCGCATCCACACGTCTAACCCGCACAAAGTACTGCGCCTGCCACGAAATGTCACCTCCGTCACACCTTGCAACCTCACGATTCCCTGCGCCTGCCACAAAAATCGCACTTCCACACCTCAAAATCCGCACAAAGTACTGCGCCTGCCACGAAAAGTGACAATATCATCTCCTGTGAGCTTCAACAAAATTTGCACCACACCACACGTTTGGAATGATTTCGACCCGTGCTGAGCACACTCCCATCCATCAAAACTGCCACTTCGGGGGCACTCACAACCAAGGAGGTGGACCGCTACCGGGCACTGGAGAGGCGGACTCACCCGAGTTCCTTCGGCTCGGACATGGTGGAGCCCTTCCACTACACAGATCAGGAGGTGGAAGCACAGCGGCAGGAAGGGACTCGGCCGCCACTGGGGTCCATCCTCTCGATTTGGTGGGCCCATGACACCGCCAAGGACGAGAAGTGGCGAAGGGAGAGCCGCACATGGGACCTGAAGTCCCTTATCCACATCTACTCGATGCGGTACACCTTCATACAGCCTGTGGTGCAGCCTCCCCTTGGCCATCGAAGCCAAGCAGCAATGGAACTGCGCAGCAATCTGCGGATCTCACAAAACGCTGCGCCTGTGCAGCGAAATGCATCATGCTTCTTGAGCGACATGTCATTGTCATACAAATCACAATGGAATAGCGGCGCAAACTGACACGTGACACATCCATGCAAAGTCACTTGCAAAAGCTTCCCCCAATGGCAGCGCCTTAGCGTCCTACTGCCGACGATTGCGGTCACTTGCGGACGGTTGAGGACGGTTGCGGACGTAGAAACAACGGGTCGCGAACAAGGCTCTACCCCCAGACCCCCAAAGTTAAACGAGAACCCTTCGCTACGCATTCGGGAAAAAATAAAGAAAGAAAGGGGTCAACAAAAATCCCAGTGAGCAACAAAAGGAAAAAGATACCAGTGAAAGGACAACGGCAGCAGGGCGGGCGACCAGAGGACTATGAAAGGATATTACCTTCACCTAATCAAAAGCCTTAGGCGGGGGCCAGGTGTGGATGTACAATGGGTGACTTTTAAAAGGTGTGTCGTGGCAGGCCCAGCGCATTGGCAAAAGTAGTGCAGATTTCGTGGCGCTGGAGGGGGGTAGCAAACTACCTAAGCCACCAAGGGACTAGGGGACCAAAGGAGCAGGGGCCTACTCAGGAACCTTCTTGTTGATCCTGTTCCTATTTTCAGCCATGTTCATCCATTTTCTATTGATCCTGTTCTTTTTTGATCTATATATTTTATATATATAGATGGCCTGAAGTATGGACGTGATAGCGTTCAATCGTGTTTAATCCTTTAATCAGCACAAGAGATCTGTGAGCGGTTTGCAACAACCTGAAACAGAAACATTTTAAAGCCACTCACAAGCCTAAGCATCAGGTCAACCATGGACAATGACAGAATGTGATGACAGGTTTTCAGTGTGGTTTGATCTCACATTTGGAAGTCTGGCCATCGTCCCGGCAGCTCAAGAATTCATGAGACATGTGGGTGTGGGACACATGTGGCTGTGCCTGGAAAGATCCAGTCCAGGCATCCGTGAGCTTTTCCAACGGCATGCCGGTCACCCTGGTGGAGTTGTGCCTTGGGCGAAGCAGCGCAGTTTCGGCCACACAGTACGAAGCAATGCATGAGAAGGCCCAAAAGGCGATACTGTTTCGCTGGGGGGGTGTTGACAAAGAATGAGTGTTCTTCATGCCAGCAAGCAGGTTCAATCACCTGGCAGAGTTTCCAGAAGGAGTTGAAGCGTTCAAGAAACATTATCCATGGCGGTAGGGTCGGAGTGTACCATACTTTTCACACCACTCTAGAGATCTCTATATAGAGAGGCTTCTTTGCGAATCTTTGCTTCCAGGCTCCAAATAGAAAAAGAGTTGATAGATGTGCTCCTTCCAAACCTTTGAGGGCTGGAGTTCTTGGAAGACGGAATAGGGTTCTTCGAAGACGTAATAGGAGTGGCTGCGTTCCTGCAAACCGAAGGAGTGACACTTCGGAGAGTGACACTCGTAATTTGTCTTCAGACGTCGGCCAGGCTTGAGTCAATCTTGTAACGGCGAGCTGCGCAAGTATTCTTCCAAACAGTGTACTTGACTCTGTCCCTGGACACCTTCCCTCCATAAGAAGGGCAGCAACCGATTGACCCTGCCAAGCCAATGGACTCCGTTCAAAGCCCATGGACCCCCCAAATGGGATCCAAAACCATCTTTGGGGTCTCTTGAAACAGGATATCTTCAGACACAAATGCGCACGCCCACCCGGCTCTCTTGGCTCGCTAGGCTCGTCATTGAGGTTGTACAGAAGAGCTCCGTGGGTTAAGACTGCCTACGTTGTTAAGGAGTAATTAATAGTAATTACAATATTCCCCCTCCTGGCTCAAATGACAAAGATTTTTCGGCAAACCCAAATCTAAGCCACCACTTACCACTTGGGATTTCAACCAAGACAAGAGTCTGATTCAAGCTGATTCAGTGGATGTTTACAGTTTTTACGATTGCGGAATTCCCATGACCTATGACCCATTCTATTACCTTTTCTTTAAACACAAGCTGCCACACACCAAGCTACCACAAGCAAGCTGAACACCGCCAAGCTGCGCCTCCGGCCCTAAGACCGTCGTAAAAAAGCAGCCAACCCAGCAAGGAGAGGACTGGTTCCTGGTTCCACACTGCTCGAAACCTCGGGAAGTCACGAAGTCACACACGGCCACGCTTCCCAAAACGGCCCGGCTCGTTCAGACGACATGGTGACGGTGACTAGTGGTCTTCCAACGACATGTTGTGTGCGTGGTCCGTTGACTAGTTCTTCAAACGATCTTCCGCAGAGACTTCAAAGGTTGTCTTGTTGCGGGTCACTTCTTCTCAGAAAGTATGATTTTTTGAGTCTGCAAGGCAACCACTCACTGCACTAAAGCAGACCTGGTATGCACATGCATAGGAAATTCGGAAATTCACCATTACACATTGGTGCTGATTTCCAGCCCCTTCAAATCATGAGCTGACCATCTTCCAAGGCACAGCGAGACCCCTCGTCCTCCACCGTCTCGACCAAGCGCGTCTTGATACAGTCCTCCTGGGAGGGGGAACATAGAGTTGCAGGACACCAAGGTACCTTGAACTGAAGCATCAAGAAGACATGAACGTCCGTTTCCACACTCAAACTCAAACTAAGAGGAAGCCCAGGGCAAACAAACGGTCCTGGATTGTGCGGCTGGCGAGCACCTAGCAATGCGCCAGCATCAGGCAGCCCCAAAGAACCCCCTTGTCAACCTCCCAGTGTCAGAGATGGAAAGGAATATGAGACCCACAGAACTAGCCCACGAACCATAGAACCACAGAACCAGTGCCTACCATCGAGACACTCGTCGGAACCCGCACATCGGAACCCGATCCGTGGCGGTGTCCGACCTTCCAACTGCATGGCTTCTCGGTGTCGTCGCAATAGCCCTCACCTTATGGCAATCCAAATGTCGTTTGCAATGGAGACCTACAGTAACACAGGTTGGGACCTAACACCGATGACGTTGGGTCGGGAATGGAGACGCGTTCCAGACCCCAGATGAGTATATAATAAGTATAACATATAGTTTAAAGATGTTTAAAGTTTAAATGGTTTTGGACTTGGGCTCTTGCATTTATTCCCCAACGCTGGTGAACTTCCTGAAGCCTTTAAAGCCATCTGGAGAGCTCATGAAATGATAAGGAAGCATCTGAATCTCGAAACAACTAGCACCTGCCACTAGTCTTCTCCATCAGCATGGTGAAGAAGATTCTGTCTCCACTAATCAGTGTCTACGCATGTACTGTAACTGTCCAGGATTGTCAACCGCGTCTTCTCTGACTGTATCGCGGTCATGGCTGCACTTTCTGAGGAGGGTGCGGAAGGTGGAGAACCAGAGTCCTCGCGCTACCCGACCAGTGAGGGTTGGAAGTAAGAAATCCAGCACCGACGGAAGTGGAAACTTCCAGGATATCAAGGAGACCCTCCATGTGACTCATGTGCAAAGAGCAAACCAGGCATACAACCCCTTCCATATCGGCGAATATGGCGAATCGAAGCGTATGTGAAGTCAAACATCTGATTTGAGACACCCCATTTGCCCACCCACCCATCGCCAACGCTCCTTGAGTCTTCCGGGCGATGTTCATGTGCCAACAGTCGAAATTCTTGGAATCTGACGCGCAGAGTGGAAATCCAATGCCGGGGCAGTACGCCGTGGCCTCGGCCTCAGCCACAGCATCCGCGGAGGAAGCTGTCATCTCGTGACTTGTCACTGAAGCAGCTCTAACACAACAAAAATCGTTATGGACCGGCGCTAAAGTCCTGGTTGGAGCACTGCACGCGTGCACAGAGAAGACCGAGGTCACTCCCAGATATATAAGTTCATGTGCTTGAAAAACACAAGCGTTTGAGGATCGTCCCGACACTACTGATCACCGACTGAGTGGATTGATCACCCAAAACCGAGTCGGTCACTGATTCCATACGAAACCCCAGGTGATTCACCGTCCAAACGACCAACAGGCAAAAGCTGAAAACGTCAGGACCATCGCTCGACTCCAAGGTGCGGAGCAAGTGCTCTGGTTCAGCAGCTTCTGATGCCTCGCCAAGCAGAGTGGACACCATTTGGAATAACGCACATGGCCGCACACATCCTGGCAGGTGAGAGTCGTGAGAGGAAGCGAGCGAACTAGCTCACTGAACTAGCACCCCCACTGATTGCGGAGTTGACCTTCGGCCCGTCACAAACAGCATCAGGGCTACCAATTTGCCGCTCATCACTGTTATTCTAAATCCTACTAAGTGTTGAAAAGCGCGGCTTCTCCATGATGTCGCAGTATGGACTATGTCGTGACCTAAACACTATGGACGTTCTGGTTGTTCCATGTGAGAAACCTCTCTCTCTCTCCTAGTTGGTAACTGTCAAACCTCTCTTAGATCGGTGAATCGGCGGGCGCGTGTTTGGCCTGGCGGCCGCATCGACATCGGTACCACTCACCAAACCGAGGTGTCTCCCTACATGGGTGTCTCCTACATGGGTGTCTGGTTTCCTCCAAATTCCATCAAATTCCCCTGTCCTTGTTTGCTTTGTCAGTCCTTTTTGGCTGTCCCTCAGAATGCCCAGTTCAGTCTCCCGGTCCAGTCGCCCAGGTCCTCAAGGGTCTCTTTGCACTGGTCGGTGACATCATGAACAAACTCCTTTACAACCGTCTCCATACCCACCTTTGCGAGTGGCGCATGATGAGTAGCGCATGTGACCCACAAGGAGTTGGAAAAGGATAGAAAAGCATCGGTTGCTCGAATCCATCTTGGGAGGTTTGGCAAAAGCTGAACCCATGATTGGCCAGTTGGTGTGGAGGCTTTGGTGTAGATCTTACAGCACCTCCAAGCTTCTTTGTCTAAAGCTTGAGCACTGCCCCGAATGTCACTAATATGCAACCGACTGGTGTTTACAGTAGCTATGTGGCTGTTAAATTTTGTCAGGACATTCTACGCCCCTCTTCCTGCCTCATCCAGGAATGTGCTCGTTCCTCTACCTCCAAAGTCTATCAGAAAGACATCTGATCATCTGGTGACTTGATGGCAAGTGGCGAGGCGCCGATCACATCCTTTGGGATTCAAGAAATTCATGCAGTCCTCAGCGAAGACTCGAGCTGCTCAGGCGCCTGCTGTGCATCCGGCAACAGCACAACAATTTTTAGAAACACCCCGTGTTTACATGGACACTGAGATGATGGACGATGGTGGTTCAGAACTACTAATGATGTTCCCGTGCACACTTGCTTTATCGCAAACCATGAACACTGACATGATGTGGTACATCACTTGTGCTAGGAAGCAGGACACTGACCTTGGGCTTGATTTTGGAACAGGCAGCCACAATTGCAAAATAATCTTGAGGAAGGCTTGAAAAAAGGTCATTCCTGCATCCACAAGTGATTCGCCAAGGCTCACAAACATAGGTCCCAGCTTCACAAGGCTTGTCTGCAGGGCGAGGATCGGTAGCTTTGGCAAGTAGCCGAATCACTTATATACTACTTCTACCAATGTCTGCTGCAACATGATTGGAGGAGGCTTCAACAACAAGATGTGTACTTAAACTTACAAAATCCTTACTTTTTGATGCCCAATGCAAATCACTTGGAATGCGAAGGTCGCCCTACTGTCAGTCTCACGAAGGAAGGTCGTCCATTCGTGGGACCAAAACCCCGAGTCTTTGGAGCCTTTTAAGACAAAATATGGCAGGCCCTGAATGTGTTTCTAGCCCTGAAATTTCGTAGTTGGCGTTGTAACAAATGGTAGCTGTTGTTGCTGGTGTTGTTGGTCGTCTTGCTGTGCGTCATGGCAGTTGGATTACGGAAAAGGACAAACATGGAAAGAAATAAGAAGCATGGTAAACTGTAAGAAAATGACAGGTGAACCAACTGTGGGCAAAACTATACTACTCAGCGCCGGATTTAATCATACTAAATCGAGGGAATGGAGGATCAAAGTGCGTGCATTGGAGGCTACCTCACCCCAATCTGCAACCATGAACGAGTCAGTATCACGCCGTGAAAATCTGGTTGTTCTGGACGTCCTCATTCTGAAAACAGGGGTCATAATTATAGTTACTTATATATATTATATTGTACTCATACAGGAGTTGGGATGGGCCTGATAAATGGTCAACCCGAATAAGTACCTCCTACATATGCTGGTCCATAACCTCAAAGTATCTATCTAGCTCTCTCATTTTGCCCATTTGGTTGAATGTGCACATACTGCAACGAAGAATCAACGGAGGCAACGAATCCCATGCAAAACACCGGCAGAAAAGCCGCTGAGCCACGAGTGAAAGGATCCGTCCCCGTGCAGAAGTTGCAGCCAGAATAGTTAGTGAAGCGAGCGTCAACCTGAGGCATCTGACGCAGCAGGGAGGAGCAGGGAGGAGCTGACGCGTCCCTGGTGAGCGCAGCGTGCATACTGGGATCTGCGTTCAAGCCCCCGAAACAGGTCAAAAGATTCAAGAATAGTTTCATGTAGTTTGCCTGGTTTTAGACCTGTATTGCGGACAGTAACGTTTAGAAGGGTTGAAGTATTTTCCTTAGTGGGATACAATCTCAGGTGTGCCAACATCACTTGAGCGCTCTTGAGCGAGTTTGGGATTGTACAGAACGCCACAACTCTCTCCCCCATTCGTTTCCCAATGTTTGCCGTCAATTCGAGCCTCCAGCTCAAGTTCAGTGGCCACCAGCCCCTGCAACATCGGGGTGTTCGTGCCACATCGCCCCTTTCCCTGAGTGGATATGCTTCGTTGACCCCTGAATTTTCCCTTGACAAATGGAGGTGAACCTCCTCCTCACTTTCAGAACGCAACTCGGTTCCCGAAGAAGGTTGAAGGCTAGCCGCTGACTGGCCGGGGTTGAGAAACAGACTCGGAGTGTGAGAGGCTCATTGTCTTAAATAGATCTATGATATGTGAAAGACTGAGAAGCCCCCGTCCATGTCCCCAGGTTCATAAAATGACATTCCGAATGTCGAAGGCATCGCACCACGTCGAAGGGCTCAATTTACAAAGGAGTGCATGATGCACTCATGATTGCTGAAGTCATCATGAACTCTTATCCACTTGCAAGGCAGTGTACAGTACGTACAAGTTCCCACTTGCTATATATAATCAGTTATCAGTTATCTGCAATTAATTAACTTATTATCTCCAATGCAAACCTCTCCACCCTTCCAAAGATCGAAGACCTTGTCTGCTTTGCTAAACTTCACCAACAGCAGCGGTGTTCGCTCGTCTCTTAGACACACCCTCGCGTGCGCCTTTGAGCGATGCTCCGGATTGAGGCACTCGAACTTATCGTAAAAGTACGTGGGATCCGCACACTGCAGAGGCCTTGGACAGAAAAAGAAATATATAGTATATAGTATACAGTATATACATATGATATACGTTTACATAATAATAATAATATTATCTACCTATTTATGCACGAAGTTGGATAGAGGACGGGCAGCACGGATGGGTTTGAGCTGCTGTTTGGCTCCAAAACTGGGATGTGATGGGTCATGATGGGTCTGAGACCCGGTCTGTGCGGTCTCAGAGTCAGCTCCGGCTTGGAGTAGCGCTCTGGCTGGAGCTGTTGGGACTGGGTGATTGGGGGTATTGGATCTTTTGGACGTGATCGAAGTCACAGAGGAACGGAAGGAGCCACCTGTTCACCGATGAATCAAGGAAGTTCCAAAACTTGAGCAAAAAAGCAGCTGAGGGCGCAGCAACAGGAACTCGTCCAAAAGGAAGAACCTTGGAGGCAAAACATGTGGGACATTGTGACCTTCAAGGGACCGTTCATCGTCAGATTCATCGTCCAACATCCTCACAGTGGGGCCATGTTCAAACGCAAGCCACGACGGGGGGACCTTGGAAGCAACCGGTAAACCGACCTCTGCAACACACCAAGTCCAGGTGCAAGCAGCTTCACATAAAAGTACGTAAAGAAACCCCATCTGCTTCTGTCTCTCAAAAATGGATATCATATGATATCGTCTGGCCTTCAAACGCCGAATCTCTCACACTGCATCGGCAGGTCCGAACTGGGCTAGGCTCACCCGAAACCCGAAGCCCTGCAAATACGGATTCGATGCGAAAGATTCACCACCTCAGAACCAGGTGCTTAAACTGACTCAAAGCCCTCATGTGTCCTCAAAAAAACCTGAAGGTCCCACCTCCAGGCCTGAATCCACCTCCTTTCCATCTCCCCCATGCCCATCTTATCGAGGTGCAAATCTCCTGGTGCATCGCCTGTGTCCATGTCAATGGGGATGTTGCTCACATTGGCCGCATGAACATGGTAGACCTTGATCTTGGTCGCCTTAGGGTAGAAGAGGCTCCGAGAGGAGAGACATCCGCGATCCAAATGTGTTCGACACCACCAAAAAAAAGCTTTGGGCGTTTTGAATATATAACACACAAGCAGCCATGAAGGCAATACGTTGCAAAACTTAAGGGAAAATGAACCAGAATATAGTAGATAAGTGCAATATGCTTGACATGCTTCATATTCTATCGATTCCAGAATGGTACATTAATTATGTACATAATTTATGCAACACCCGTCTGTGTGGTGGCAGTGTTTTTTTCGTGCATGCCAAGCGTACATGGCACAGACCGTTTTGGGTTCAAGCAAAACACAATCAATGATATCCTCGATATCCTGAATGAATGGCATCGTTGGTTTTGACAACTCCAAAAAAGATGTAAAACTTACAAACCATGTCATTAAAGGGTCCTGAGTCCTGGCCTAAACTCCAGATGCGCCCAAGCAACATGTCCTATCAAGCCTGAAGTCCGCTACTATATGATGCAGCATGCACCAATATCGAAAACATCGTCTAGGATGTTGGCGGAGTTCGGATTGACTTGGTCAATGTCAACCCAGGATAAACTTAGAGCAAGTAATCACCGGATAATGTTGTCTACTTGCATGAATATCCAATCAACACCAGCTTCTTTTAAAACCTGCATGATATTGTATGCAGCGAATCAAACACACTTCAGGTATTTTGATGTGACTCGGGCAGGGTAAGCAAGTGTCTTCGCCAAATAAGGGGAGAGGTCAGTTGGTTGACCTTGGGGAATGTTGACTCGAAGCCCCCTGTCAAAACTCGCAATACATGATCTTGCGCTATACGCAATAATGGTTCGCATTAGGATAGAATAAGGGTGTGTAGAAAAAATAGACATAAGTTGACACAAACAATCCGTTCACTATTTGGCGAGCATCTATCTAGTCTGATCTATCTATTATATAGCTATATATATATTTACATTATATATCATTATATAGTGTCTATCTGGGTGTGCTCAACTGCATGGAATTCTGTCGAACGCTGTCTGAAGCCGAAGAGCATGCTTGGGGTCCACCTGGCAAAGGACAAGTACAAAAGAGCAAGATTCGTTAAATTGACTACAAGTACTCTGCCATCGCAGGTTTGCTGAGCATGATTCAAGGGCAATGTCTGGCCCTATACTAGGCGCTTACATCCCAACACCAACTTCTGGGTATTTCTGGCCGCTGTGGGGGACAGCAACAATCACTCCAATGCACAACGACCGTCTGCAACCGTGAACGCAACAATGTGCGATGTGATGTGTCCGAGACAAATACAGTACAAGTTGGAAACAAACATATATAAAACTCCCAAGCGGACTTCCTGATGACTAAAGCCAGCTAATACCAACTCGCGTCAATAGGATCTCAATGGTAACATTCTCATGGTATCTCATTTGTGCACGGGGAACTGTCAACCGTCACTGGTGATGTTCTCATATGTTCTCCATGCTCATCCGTTCCTCCGTTCTGCACCTCCCCAGCAGCAGCCAAGGACACCAGGAGCAAACTCAATTGCCACATGCTCAACATCGGAGAAATGCCGTCGCAAACGACAGGCAAGGGTGGAAAGTAGGCGCTATGTGTTACAAATGGTGTTCATAGTTGGTAGAAGTCTTGCATGCATATCAATGGGACATCGGAAGAGTGTCGATGCCCCTCCTCGACTTGCTGGATTCCAATTGCTTGCTTCTTGTCAGAATCTGGGAAGACTTGCAGCGCATTGAACACGGCAAGCCACATGTCAATCCACAGGGTTTTGAGAATCACCTCGGTCGATGGCTGCAGAAAGATTTGGACATGATTTGGAAACAAAGCACGTCGCGATTGTATGGCTAGACTGTTCTGTCAATTAAGGCTGGTTTCTATGAGTCATGTTTGAATCGTCACAAGACTTGTCAGAATCAAACAATGAGGTATGTCTGAAAACCATTAAAAGGCATCTTCCCAGTCCAACCTTGTTGATAAGCAACCATACTCTGACCGTAGCGCGCGCTCGGCGTGTCCTGGAAACATCGTCATCTACTTCTGGAAATGAACATCTTACCAAAATCGAGTCTACCACCATGGACGTGAAGTAGAAAGGCACCTGTTTTGTAGAGGAAAATGGGCCCTGCACAACTCGGCTCAAGCCAAGGGGTAGGCACCCAACACTTCGCCCTCTTGAGGGCACACTGCGGATTGAGCCATGACTGGTCTTCACCGTTCTATACCGTTCACCGTTCTTTGAACTTGAATCCATACGTGGACAGGACTGCGGACAGGCATATCACATATCGCTTTAAATACCAAGCAGAGACAGGACAGATCTCTTTGAAATCGACCGCAGTGGCGAGCAACGTTTCCCGAAGTGTCCGGATTGCCCGAAGCACTCTTGAGGTTCCTCGGCACCTTTTCACCTTTTTTTGCCGTGTCCAGTGGAACGAACGAACGTGCTTGAATATAACTACTAGTAAGGCCAGGAGCCCCTAGTAGCTTCTTGCTCCTAGAAGTAAGGCACTTGTTTCTAATAGCTTCTTGTTACTACTAGTAAGGCACCTGTTACTACTAGCGTGGCACTTGTTACTAGTAGTAACAGAAGATATCCAACTTCTGCGGTATGAAGATTATGAAGGTGTTGTTTCTGCAGCGTGAGAAGTCCGAAGGCAATAGCGAAGTTCTTGAGACCAGGTGGGCCTTTAACTCTGAGAGATCTCGGGGATTGTTAGGGTGTGACGAAGTGATTAAAGTTTGTAAACCTGAAGCTATGTGGACAAAAATCTGGATGCACTTGAATATCATGTTTGGCTTCATCGCATTGTGCTTTGAAGTGGCCAAGATTTATATCCGCATTGTTTTCTTGATGGAGTTGCTTTGGAATTGTCCGGTCAGCCTGCTGTACGGTTCCCAATGCAATCTTCAATCCCACCCCTGTTTCCAGGAAAGGGAGTCATGTTGACTTTCTCGTCTAGAGCCTTCAGCCAAGTGCCTACAATCCCTCGCTCCAAATTTGTCTTCTGACGGTCGGACTTTGAAATGTGTCGCTCTGAGGGTTTGCTCTGTCGGACGTACATGCAAGGAGCGCCTATTGTTCAGCCTATGTCTTTGTACAGCTACCGTTGTGGAATAGCAGAGGCTCTGATTTCATGATGTGGGCGTGTGTCTTTCTGGCTTCGGTGTCAGTCCTTCTGGCCGCCCAGAAGTGTAGAGTTATATAATATGTGAGGTGAAACACCAGTTGTTTCATGTTGTTTCTGGCTCATGCTCATGCTCCTCTAAGCATCCGTTGGATTCGACTTGCCATTTCTATCATGCTGTTGGATTCTTGTGTGTCTTCAGCTGTCCCATTTTGTGTTTCTCTTACGATCATGGCTTGCTATCAAATGAAAATCGTCTGCTTGTACGTTTAGACATGTTGATCATTAGTTGACAACCGTCTGATATCAGCAAGTTGTGTCTCCTTTCATTGTGCATCCAGAGTTTCCAGTTGAGATTTACCTCTTGGAATATCTCTCTTTTCTCACTTTGTTGCAATAGGGCAGCCCGTCATCTCCCGCTCGGTACCCGGACTATTCCAAGGGTGTGGTGTAGAGGAAAATGGTCTTCCACGATTCCAGGGAGTACAGAACAAGCCGGCTCTCCAAAAGGGTACCACACAATCAAAAAACCAGACGGCACCCTCCCACTTGTTTGTCCTCCACCGGATTGGAAAGGAGTCTCCAGGTCTCTGTTTGGAAGCAGAACTCGCAAAGGTCGCGCTTGTTGGTGTAGCCTGACCACGGCGAGTTGGTAGCTGACCAGGGCGAACCACAAGGACCACAATGCCAGCTTCCGATTCTGTTCCAGGTAGGAAGGGAGTCAACGGCTATGGTAAGTTGTACGTAGGAGTCAACACAGAAAGGTCCAACAAAAAAATAAACAAATTAATAAAGAGAATTGAATAGATATATAATGAATAGTGCGAGCGCTCTCCTGCGTGGGTCCTAGCTAGGAGCGAACTTCTCCTATAAGCTATAGTAGCTTACTTCTCCCTTACTTAATTCAGTGGGCGCCCGGCGCCTGCCGCCTTTTTTAACTTAGTGGGAGCGGGCTAAAGGATTGGAGAAAGAATGATGGGATGAACCCGTTGGAGCATCCTCCAATTCGGCGCGGAGGCCAGTCCTTTGAAAGTCCTCCCAATCGATTCAGTGATCTCTGAGTTGCCCGAACCAAAATGAGAGCCAGAGCCACCAAAGATGTACATCACCTGGCGAAGATATGTGAGGAGGAGGTTGCACACATGCTGAGTCAGTCAGGCTGTGAGGAGATTATACTGGCTGTGATACAGGTCTTCCACAGCTGGTCACATTCTGTCTGAAAGTAAACTGGTCAAAGTTCAAGGAGCCTACATCCCAATGACCCGTAACCCAAATGAATTCACATCGTTCACCTAATTCATCCACCTATCTCATCCTATCTCTGCCCTGGGCGATTTGGGGGATCTTTGGGAAGGCTTTTCACCCACCGCTGACCGCACTCGGTGACCGCGACCGCGACCGCTCGCTCCGGCCCCTGCAAGCTCGTCTGTGACCGCCGAGTGGGATGCTCGCCCGGACCTCGATTAGAATCCCAAGCGAAACGAGGACGAAACGTGTCACACCGGGGGTCACGTAACCAATGATGACGAAACTTACACATCGGGGCTTGGCTTAGATGGTGGAATTGGATGGAATTGGCTGTTCTTTGTTGAACACATTTGTGCAATTCTACCCGATGTCATCCCTTTTCCACTCTGAAACTCAGTGAAACACTGATTTGGAGTTTGAAGAAAGACTTCTCTTGCACCAGTTGGGATCACGAGGGATGGGCCGGTGGGACGAGGTTCTACCAGTATGCCCACGAATGCCATTTCACAACCAAACGGAGAAAAAACTGGGTCTCTCAAACCATCTAGTAGCTAGAAGCTAGTAGTAGCTCCTGGCATTACTAATTACTAGGAACAAGAAGCTACTAAGTAACAAGGGCATTACTACATATTACTTATTACTATATTATATTACTACTATAAGGCTCACGGCTCGCTTCGTCGCTTGGGAGGGTCCATGGTCCCGCATCCCGGCATGGTCGACGCGTGGACCCGTCCTCGGGCCGTGACGGGCGGTCACCTCGGGCCTCGATCCGTCGCCAAAGCCTGAACATCGAAGAAAAATAAAGAAAGGACGCTACTAGGGGCTCCTGGCCTTACTACTAGGAGCAAAGACGCTACTAGGGGCTCATG